GCAGCAGCAGCAGCAGCAGCAGCAGCAGCAGCAGCAGCAGCAGCAGCAGCAGCAGCAGCAGCAGCAACGCCACAACCACTTCCTGTTGCGTAGCTTTTTGCTTCCTTGATATGCAGTATCTCTCCTTTTGTGTGTGTTGTGTTGGGGTATACATAAACTCCACCATGTTAGGGTTTAGGGTTTAGGGTTTAGGGTTTGGGGTTTAGGGTTTAGGGTTAGGGGTTTAGGGTTTAGGGTTTAGGGTTTGGGGTTTAGGGTTGGGTTTGTCTGTCTTCTCTTTCGTCTCCTGCATCTGTCTCCTTCTTGCAGCTCCCTCACTCCTCATCTGTCTCCTCTTTCTTTTTTCCATTTTATATTTTCTGTTTTTTATTTTATATTTTTTGTTTTGTTTTTTGTTTTTTGTTCTTTGTTTTTTTTTCTCTTTTTCTTTTTCTCTCTCTAGTGAGTCGCCGCTGACTCCGTTGTCACTGTCTTCTCTGTAACTTCGCTCATCGCTGTTGCTGCTGCTGCTGCTGCTGCTGCTGCTGCTGCTGTTGCTGCTGCTGCTGCTGCTGCTGCTGCAGATGAAGGAGCTGGTTGCGCCAGTGGTGAAGTCTGCGAATCCCCCTCACCCCGAGGACCCCGTAGCCATACAACGCATGCACTTGCTGCTGCAGCAGCTGCGGCGCTCGCGTCGGCGGCTGCAGCACCTGCAGCAGCTGGGCCCCGAAGACACCATTCGTTTCACAGTGGCGGTGCCGCAGCAGCAGGACGAGTACAGCCAGCAGCAGCAACAGCAGCAGCAGCAGCAGCAGGAGCAGCAGCAGCAGCAGCAGGAAACAATTCAACTCACCCATACACTAGGGGACGTCAAGCGCCTCCTGGGGGCTGGGGGGGGCCTGGCCTTAGTACCGGGCATCCGCTTCGGTGAGTCTATAGCTGCTGCTGCTGTTTGCTGCTGCTGCTGCTGCTTGCTGCTGCCGCTGCTGCTGCTGCTGCTGCTTGCTGCTGCTTGCTGCTTTTTTCTGCTTCTGTTTGCTGCTGCTCTTTTGTGCTGCTACTGTTTGCTGCTGCTGCTGCTGCTGCTGTTCTGGTGCGTTATCCCTTCTGTCTCCTCCTATTTTGCTGCGGCTTTTGCTGCTGCTGCTGTTGCTGCTGCTGCTGTTGTTGTTGCTGCTGTTGTCTTTCTGTTTGTTTTTCTTTCGGTTTGCTGCTGCTGATTGAGTAGACTTTTGGTTATTCCCTTCTCCCCTCACTCTGCCGTTTTGCTGTTTCTGCTGCTGCTACTGCTTCCATTGCTACCTCTTCTGCTGCTGCTGCTGCTGCTGCTGCTGTTGCTGCTGCAGGGCCAGCTGTGTGTAAGGTGGAGGCGCTGCGGGTGGTGCAGCCGTACCCCCAGCCCCTCACCCCCGAGCTCTGGTACGCCGAGGGTTTCTTCGCAGCTAACTGTGCTGCTCTCCGCTTCAGGCTGCAGCAGACACCATACAGGACCCACGCCAACTGGCTTGCATGCAACCATATGCCCCCAGATGCTTTCTTCCCCCAGCAGCAGCAGCAGCAGCAGCAGCAGCAGCAGCAGCTTGAACAGCAGCAGCAGCAGCAGCAGCAAGGGGAGCAGCGGGGAGAAAGTGGTGTGGAAGCAAACGGTGCTCAGGAAAGCAGCGAGGATGCAACCAGCAGCGAACTCAAACCCAGCAGCAGCAGCAGCAGCAACAG